ATAAATATGATTAAACTGAGTCATGTTTAATTGAAAGAAATTAATCTCAGATTATTTGAATTAGTCTTCCATAATATCGATTACATTGGAAAAAAGTGTGGTTTGCTTAGCATACTATGATTCATCTTTAAGACATGATAAGTATAGCATTGAGAAGCCAAATGTAGAAAGTAAAAGAGAAGTAAAAGAGCCAAATAACCTAATTCGATTTAAACGACCTAAAAATTTCATCGAATATATTCTGCTGATGTGGCAGGAATGGAAGAAAAAGACTTGGAGTTAAGATGGATTTTCACTTTATTTTCCGTATAAAGCTACATAAAACCGTTACTCTTGCATGTCATCTAATTTTATAGTGTTAACTATCTAGTATTTTTGATAATATCAAATATTCATTGATATCTTCGGGAAAGTAAGGACTATGCCGTAACGGTACTTCGTTGTATTTCCGCAAAGATGCATAAGTGAAAAAATGAAGAAAACGCCTATTTAATAACAATGAATAGAAGAGAATCAGCTCACTTCTTGATCTGTAAGGAAGTAAATTACCAATCAAATAAGCTGGAAATAAGTTAAAAAGCAAGTAAAATAAGTGAATAAATAATTGGATAATCAATGGTAAAAACATTTTGTCAAAAACCAATTTCAAATACTTTAATAATGTCATTTTTACTCATGAATTTCTACACTGTCATTAGACACTGGCAGTATTATATCCGCAAAAACACAAATTCATTTTGTTGCAGCAGATTCCTTAACAAAAATATGTAATTTTAAATTAATAATCAGTTTAGAATATAGCTTACTGCTAGAATGAAACTTTGAAGTAATTAAATTCGAAAGTAATATCCAAAACAATTAAAAGATACCTTTCATTAGCAAGAAATATCTCAAACAATTCTAATTCCAAGAAATTTTTATAACAAGCACTATAAATTATCAAAATAATAGTAATAATATTTATCAAAATGCATTATTTATTTATTGTATAATATTTTAGTAAAATTTAGAAAAAAGTAATTAGCCATATTTTAAAAAAATAAGTACTTTTCTAAATGAATGTGATGGGTATTTCTTATATGCAAACAAGAAACATTTGAATATTAGAAGTGGAAATCAGTGACACTTCTTGTGGTAAACTTTCTACATTATAAAGTAAATCAAAGAATTTCCAGGAAATCAATTAATGAAGAATGAAAAAGAAGCGTGAACCTTGCGAGGAAAATTATTCAACTATTCAAATAGTGGTTTCCTGTACTTTATTCGTTAACAGGAAGCATTCCGGTTTCAATCATCGTCTACAGTTGCTGATAATTAAAAAACCTATTCTTTAAATGCTGAAAGGGACGAGTCTTGTTTGGTAAGATGGCTTATTACCGTATTCAGAAGTTATGGTATGACCTCTTCTGCTCACATTAACAGAAACTACAAACCGGTTGTAAATGATTTATAAAGAAAACTATAATGTGCCAAAACAATATTCCCACTGATAAAGTTCTGGTGATAAAACATCGACCTCAGTTTTGTACCCATACAACATCACCAACTTTATTGTTTCCTCAACATCTGGGAATAATTTCTTTCTTTTCGGCTTCTTTCCTCTGAAGTTTAATTCTAGAAGAAAATTTTGACTGAGATCGATAATTAAGAATTTCTTTCATACATTCTTGAATTTCTTCCTAATAAGCCTCCCATTCCCCATTATCAAGCTTTTGTTTACGATCGCTGTTAACATCTGTAAGCAATATGTGCAGTTTTGTGTAGTAGAACTCAATCCCTTCTCTTATCTCACTTTTCATCCGATCCCAATATCATCATCTCAAATCCCCTTACTATTTTCTCCATTATTTATAACCACTCATCTCTATACTGCTACAGTATGATCATAGTCATTTCTGATTTCCACCTTTGAAATCGATTTTAATTGACAACAAAACATTTCACAATCTTTTGTTAAACATTTTGAAAACATTTTTAACAATTTCATTTCATAAGGTCAAGTAAATGATGATGACATTGACATGACAATAATTTCAACAGATTGTTATCAGTAACTAAAGCAGCTGATATTCTCTGCTTAAACTGCAATAGATTTTATCAAATTAATCGATCACAATCGAACGACCCTTAATTTCCAATTTATTTCACTCACAATGATATCAGAAAAAAAACCAATCCCTTTCAGTGATCGCTATTATTTGTTCTTATCTGTTTCTCTCTTCTTTACCGACTCGTTCCTTCACACAAAAGAGAATCACAATGACTAATAAAGTACCTGTAAACTGATACCATCGACATTTCGCACCTTTCCGACTGGCAAAACCCATGAATATCACTTTTAGACTTACAAGTTACGACATTATCCTCTGAAGTTTGTTTACAAAAAACACAAAAGACAGTTCTCCATAAATGTAATTTTTTATGTCCCATTCAAATAGCGAGTCTTTTTTATGTCCTGTTCAAACAGCAAAGCTAAAATAAACAAAGCCCTAGAGTAGTAGTCTTTAGAGTAGTTAAAAAGGATAATAAGTCAATGTAGTTAAAAAGGATAATAAGCCAATCAGACATGGCTTCGGCTAACTTTGCTTATCAGAAAGACAATCCCTTTTGCGCTATGGCTGATAGTTAACTTTATTGATTACATCGAACTTCTTTGTTCCACGGATGACGCTGCTGTTGACACACTTTCTGTTCCTGCTGTAGTTGCGGTTACGGGCGGAGTTGTTTCGGTACCTTCATTAAACCAACCATTTTCTTCTTCTATAAGTCAAACTACGAAATCCTCAGGATTTTGCTGAAGTTTTGGAATGAAATTAGTGCACTGAAACGAAACTGGATGAAATTTTCTTAGATCACAGATTTAATTTTGGAAAAAAACGGACCTGTTTTAATGAAAGTTTGCATCGGTGATGTGTCATCGGTTGAGTAATAATGTGGAAGGGAAGCCATTCCACCTCTCCACATATTGAATGTCGTTTGCAAATTACCATCACAAAGTTGCATCTCGCATCCGAACAGACGACATCCATCGCCATTCATCTGCATAATTTTACGTTTAACAGAGTTTTAAGAAATCCCGATGTATTCCAGAGAGTCCTCAAAAGAGAATTCGAGAATGAAACTGCTCAAGGAGCAAAAGGAATTTTGATATCAAATAATAAAATGATAGGAAATGTTGAAAACCTGATCTAAAAAGCGAATATAATCTGTAGCAATACGTAGTGTATGAATTTTACTCATTTTATCAGATGGTAACGAGGGAACAATTCGTCGCAAAATGGCGAATGCATCATTTAGTTCTTTTGTTCGTTGTCGCTCACGACGATTTGCTGCGACACGTTGTTGCAATGCCTCCTCTGGATTATCTCCCTATGCATGATAATGATAATAATGATGATGTCGAGAACGACAATAGTACTAATGATTATGATAATGATCAAGCAATAATAATTAATGTTTAAGAAGAAATAACTGTTAAAAAAAACTAAAAAATTATAACATAATCTAGAAAGGACAGGCGGGAATTTTACAAGCAATTAGTTTTCCTTTTATATAATATTTTTTAAAAAGAAAACTTTAAAAATGTCCAATTTTATTGCAAAGGATTCAGACGTAATTTTTAAATAAGTTTTGAATATCAATATGGTTTTAAGACTTTGATCAAAAATGCCTATCAAAATTATTAAAATAAGATCCATTTTTAAAATTTGCCAGTAGACTTTTCGGTACAGTTGACATTAAAGGTTTACTAGCTTTATTACTGGGATAACTTTCAGAAAGTTAAGTAGAAACGAAATGCATAAATTGATGTGTTGCTATAAAAAGAGCAATGTGATAAATAAGTGATAGTGGTAACAGTCATCACTGTAAAGATAAAAGGACAAAATGAATTAGCCAGTAGCATAAATCAGTGGGCAAAAAATATATTTTTTGGAGTGTTTCAAGAATATTTGAACATAAATTGGATTGCTCACTCCGTTACTCTTAGTGAGGAAAGCTTTGATGTTAACTTCAAATATCAATGAATAAAAAAAGAAATACCTTACGCCTATTAGACCGTCTTCTGGTAACCATCTGGAGGGATAAACGATGACTTACCCGGAAGATATATCAAAACTTCTGCACCGCCCATTATCTTCCTCTCTCTTCTCATTTAACATCTTCCACATTTAACATTAGTATCATCCTCTCAACTTACGATCCTATTCACTGCTCAGTCATTTGTTACGATGATATATGCGCAGAAACGGCGGCTAACGTATGATTGTTTTATATTAATGTTCTCTTCTGAACTCAACCATTCTTTCAAACAACAAATTGAAAGTTAACTTTAAAATTTCTTTAGTTTTAATTAAAATGTGATTTTAAAAAAAATGGAGCACTTCAGTTGTAAGAAAATTTTATACAAACAAAATCAAAAAATGAATCAATCATATAAGAATTATTTCGATGATCAGATGAAGTCAATATGAATAAATATCAGCCTTCTTCTGGTAAAATTATGCACATTTATGATTTCATAGTTTAAAAATAAAAAATGAAACTAAAAAAAAACAAGCAAAAACAGACTATTTGGGATGATTTATACGCGAATGAAATTATGAAAACATAAGTATTTGAGAAGTATATTGAATAAATTTAAATGAAGAAGCAGATTTTCGACCACAATAGGTAGAGCGAAAAAATGTTAACTTGTTAAGGTTAGACTTCGATATGCAAATGATGAAGAGGAAAAACGTCAATCTACACAACTTTCTGGTTTCAGTTCTTCGAATCTCCGTTTATCTTTTAACAGATTGCGTGTATTTGCATTGATTTATTTGCATTAGCTTTTTTTGAAAATATGCTGGCAAAAAGTTTCGTTTTTAAAAATCTTTTAAACTTTTCAAAAAAAAATTTGAAAATTTTCTAAAATTATCCATAAAAATGCCATCTCATCTTCTCTTAGCCAAATGCATGTGAGAATTCGCTGACAGTTGAAAGATTAAGTTCAGTAAGAGTCAAATTAATAATTGCCAATTTACGAAGCAATTTCTTGCCATCATTTCTGCTTCTGTTTTATATTTGAGAAGATCGTTAATTACAAGAGCGTCTCTCCCGCTGTGTTCCTTCTGGATATGAGCAATCACAGCATTCTCGTCATGCAATGATTCAAATGGACATAGCGAGCATCTTCAAATAACAGAAAAAAAAGAGGAAGAAATATGATAAAGGAAGAATAAATAAATTTAAACAGAAATTAACTAGAAATGAAGTTTTTGCAGAGCGCATTTGACATTGCTTCTCTTCTCTAAACGGCATTGCATTTGTTTAACCCTTTGTTTTAATCCATCAACGATAGAAAAAATGATGAAAGCAAATGTTATTTTAATTTTCCGATTTATCACTTCATTAACCTTAGCCACAAATCAAAGAAGGCAGTTTTTAAACAAATCCCCAGATTAAGTTGTATAACACTGATTAAATTTCCTTGGAGTTTTAATAAGCAAAATATGTTGGAGCATAATTCATTCTCGAAATCTCGGATTACATTGAGAGATTTATTTCTCAGCTCAATAAATTTGCATATAATAATTCAAACCTGAAAATAACTTTTTTAAGATGCTTTTCTAGTAGATGAGCCATTCGTCGTTTCTTACTAATTGTAGCGCCACACTGGCGGCATTTCGCCCTACGTCCTTCTTCAGAAATAGTAATATTCGATAAACGTTTTGGTCGTCCCGGAAAGCAGCGGTCATGCATTTCCGAGAAATCTGCTCGATGTTCAATCACATTAGCTATCGGTTCTAGACCCTTAATTTTTTTTTTGAAATTCATGAGCTCTTCTGAGACGCGTTGATATTTATGTTATATAATAATGTAAGTGTGTTATATAATGTTATATAATAATGTAAGTAAAATTCTATAAAATAAGGAGAACTCGAAAGTGTCAAATTCACAAATAAAGTCAGCAACCGCAACTTACTTTAACTTCCTTCCTTCTGTGTCCATTTTTCATATGTCTTCGGACAAGACGACTCTCGGCAGCACCGTAATCACAAAGAGGACACTGATGAAGTGACATTTTCAAATGAACTTCAGCAATATGACGTGAAGTTTGACGCACTTCCACATCACAAACTCGACATCTACCAAAATAGAACGTTCTCTTTGCAGTAGGTAAAACTAAGTGTCAAAATTCAGATAAATCTGTATTAAGAAATAGGTTCTGTTTGCTGGATGAATATTTGAAAATTAAAAAACAAGGAACAGCAATAACTTATTGAAATCTTCTAGTGCAGAAGTTGGTAAACGACGATTGATCCAACCCGGAAAACAACGTAAGTTCCATATTGCTATTTCTTTTGAAAATTTCAGTAGATTTGCTGTGGGTGCTAAATCTGCGTTATCTCGATGCGCATATCTTAATTTCAAGAAAATTTTCAGAAATTTTTAAAAATTTTAAAGTTTTAAGTGATACAAAAATTTTAACAAGGATCAAATCTATCGCATATCTTTGTGCACTTTTTAATGACCAACTTGATATGCGCCCTGACGTCTGATGAACAAGCGTGATGAGAGAATTCACAAAGTGGACATTGGTAAAGATGGGGTTCCTTTAGATGATGTCTGTATACATGAATCTGCAAATTAAAGGCATAATCGATAATTACTTCGAAAGCTATTTAGAAGTAAATATTGCTTTATAAAAGTCATTAAAAAATTCAACAAATCAATTTAGAGAATACTATTGTTTAAGACCAAAAAAATACCTGTCGATCTTCAGTCTTCATTTCTTGGCCACATTCATGACACTGAACCTTAAGTGCTTCGAAAGTCTTCCCATTTTCACTCGCTTTCTTTTCTGACCACAAGTTCTGAGGCAAATCTTGATGAGAATTTTAAAGACTTTTAAACAGCTTTATTGTATTATACATATTAATAATTCTAGCAATTTCTCAGTCATTTTTTCACTCTTAAAATTGTCAATTAGAAATTTACCTTGAGCCTTCGTCCTGGAAAACATTGCTGATACATTTTCTGTAATTCGTCTGCATGCTCTTCGATATTCGACACGGGTTCTTCCATACATTCACCGTGTAATTTCTCCATATGAGATCGTATTTCATAGGCATCTTGTCCTCCACGACCTTTACATATTGGACACTGATAAAGGAAAATCTTGAGATGATCCTTCGCTACGTGACGTAAGAAATTCGATGAAGGTTTAAATTCTTTTTTGCAAAGCTGCAAGTGCTTCAAATTTTCACACTGTGCAGTGTTTGTTCTCAAGAAAAAAAAAATACAGTAGTTCAGACATTGAATTTCAGAGTTAATTCAGGTCAATTCAGTTCAATCAATCATATTAATAAATTAATGTATAAAGAAAGAAATGATTAATATTAAAACATTTGGTCATTTTGATTCGGTAATACTTTCACTCCACGCTTTTTTAATATGGTTTACAACAAATTGATCGAAACGTAAATTATGACATTCTCAATAACAAGTAGCTTCAAATCAGAAAAAGAAAATAAAAAAAAAAAAAACGACAAATGAAGACAAAAATACATATATATTTGTTTAATAAAAATTTTGCATTTCCATAAAACCACAGCTAACCATGCAGGTCCATTCATTCGGTTTTTTACAAGGCTCTTCCTGAAGTACAGGTGGTTTACTAATGACTACCTCCGTTGATTTCTTCTCTTCCTCAACATCTGCTATCACATTTTTCTTTACCTGCAAATCAGATTATATAAAACGGAAAGTCGAGATCAAATAATGCCTGGGTTTTATTTTCAGTGACAGTTATGCATTATCGTAGGAGAAAAACTTTATAGAAAATCTGAACATTTTGCTTGGTTTCTTCGATGTCCAACCACCAAAACTGCCTCCGCCTATGTTGCCAACCCGGAAAACATCGCTCGTTTAATCGATCTATTTCTTCTCTGAAAATCTAAATTTATGATTGCAAAGTGATTGTAAAACTAACTTTAACCTTCCAAAAAGCTAAATGGTCGCAGTATGATCTGGTGGACGAAATTTGAGTGATTTCAAAAGTCATAAAATAATGGAAAGAAGAGATATGTATTTCAAATGTTTACTTCTATCAAGAAATTTGCCTACTTATAATCATTTTCATGAGAATAAGGTTCTCTGTTTGAATCATCTTTATGCATCCATTTAATATGCCACTTCACACGATGTATATCGTAGTTTGAAGCAAAAGAGCAAAGAGGGCATTCGAAAATACGTTGTTGCTTTAAATGACGATGGTATACATGCCGTTGACGATCTGATTGCGCCACCTGAAGAGATGAAATTTAAATTTGAAACTGAACAGATATTCAGCATAATGAATAATTGAGTGGTTCTGTGCATCCTTCACATATCACAGAAATTAGTAGTTATACACCTTTTTGAATGCTTAGACTGGATTTTACCTGTATTTTACAAATTTGGCAAATGTGACGCTCTCGAGGACGATAACGACCGACATGAGGTCGAACAAGCTTCATTGGTCGGTTTGGAAAACATTTCTTCTACAATATGTTTTTCCTTTATCAATACTAAACAGTGTTACGAAATAGGATAAACAATGAATTTCCAATTAAGAGGATTAAAAATCTGATGAAATGTTTTTGACGATCTAAAATATCTGGGTAAAAAGTACATGAAATGAAATGACTACCTGTAAGTCACGAATTTCCTGAGCATATCTATCCAAATTGGAGATGGGAATAGCATCACACTGTTCCGGATGAATTTTGCTGATATGTTTAGCAACGGTACAACTTTCGTAACTTCCAAAATCTTGACAAACTGGACATTGGTATAGTGATTTCTTCAAATGTTTTTGAGCTATGTGACGTCCTGGATAACGAGATTCTTCCCTATAAATGATCCCTGTTTGTTACATGCTCACATCTTCAAATTAATTTTAATTAAAATTAAACTTCATTGATTTCGCGAATATTTAAATTCAATTCACAAATTAAGAAAAGATCAAGTCCAAAACCATTACCAGCACAGATGACACGTCCGATCGTCTACAACAGCTCCTATGATTGATTGTGTCTGATTATCACTATTCATCTTACAGCTGTCTACTTCATCGCAAGATGTATTTGCAACACGTCCATGGCTAACCATTTTTAGTTCTCTATCGTCCGGAGTGATTTGATTTTGCTAAAGAAGTAATCACTTCATTCGGACGTAAGAGATGAGAAAAGTATAATAAAAGGCTTTAAAAGATCTCAGAATAACCTTTGATCAGAAATTCCCTGAAATATATTTTGATCAGAAGTTAAGAAACCTCCAGTGTTATTGTTTTTTGTCTTGACAAAGGTGATTTCTTCAGCTTCCAATCCGGGAAACATTGCTGATTCCAATTCTGGAACAATCATTTACTACATTTGTTTCAGCTGTGGAACCAGTTAAAACCAAAAGTTATGATTCGAAACAATCACTAATGAGATCAATTAGTAGAAAAGATTAGTTAATCTTAAACATTGAGCGTTGTCCCTCTGTATTGTATTACGTAACGTAGAAATGGCTGGTGATTTTTATTACAAAAACAACACCAACTCATTATATCGGATTGACTGGAAATAAAAGTTGAAATTGGGAATGAATAACCTGTATTTCATGCTTATGAACTTCTTCATTACTGATAGGATATGCATTGCCTTGATGAATAGATGTACAGTGTTTACGCATCTCCCAAACTGAGTTATTATTTGTATAGTCACAACATGAACACTGGAAAAGATCAGAAATTCGCAGGTGAAATTGATAAACGTGTCGTTGGCGTGCTGTTGTGCAGACATCCACGTGGCAAACTTGACAATTTGATTTTCGAACGGCTTTCGAACTACTTGGAAGAGATATTGAATTCTGTACTTGTTGATCATTATTCAAGTAGTTACCAACAGCTGTCATTATTTTGCAGGATTCAGTTTCCAACATCTGAATCATAATAAGTAATAAGTAGTCTACTGAGTGATCACGAAGTATTCACTTACGCAAAAAGATATCTAAAAAAGGAGAGCGGCGACTTCAGAGTGTGGTATATTTTCTGCAACCGTATAAAGGGGCTTAGTTCTCTAAATAAGAAGCACTTCCGGATATATGAGTAATAGTGTCGAAAAACTTTTTAAATCCTCACAACATTAGATCGTTTTGCTATTGGCTGATAATCGGCTTCTTCAGGATCATCGCTTTCTAAAGGTTTCTGTTTTTGTGAATTCAGGTAAGATTCATCATTATCACGATCATCTTGGGGTATCTGTAAAGAATCGAACATGACCTGTTGTAGACTGTTTATATAAGGTTACAGGAAAATATTTATGACACTTACTGACGATTGCTTTGTGGATTCCAATGCCGTCTCTGCGAAAGCATCGTACAGAAAATCGTCTCTCACATTCTGCAAATATTCATTCTTTGCAGTATTTTATGAACACTCGAAAATGCGTGCCTCAGCAGCACTTTGTAGTTTTAATTCTACAAGTAGTAACGGAATAAGCTTTTTGGATTGTAGCAGGTGTCAGGTTTTTTCCAAAAATTCATTCTGCTCTTCGCGATGTCTAATAAGCACAATTACATCCCAAAGACTGGTGGCGATATCACTACATTTTAGCAATGTTGCATTTTGACCAGTCATTAGCGCAAATAAAATAAAAACATTTAAAAAAATGAACTTCACTATGATAAGCAATATTGGTGAGAAGCCAGAAATGGGTTTTCTTGGTGACATTGGGAGCGAGTAGGGCGCGAGCCACGAATTTAGCGTGACACTCTACCAGATGTTCACGAAGTTGGAAATTTGTCTGGAAGCCTAACTCTGCGATGTGACCCGTTTGTTCTCGGTCCATCTGCAGATCACATAGAAGGCATGGTAGGAGCATTCAGAAATTAATAATTCTGAAAATTTACAGGAGAATGAAGAAGTTGTCAATGTAATTAGTAGCTGGCAAGTAGCTGAACTTAAGCGAGGCCCTTTTTGAGTTTTTGTCAAAGCTGGCCTCAAAGAAGATGTTTTAAGAGAGGAAAACCTGAATGACATATCCTTTCATTCATTTATTCTCTCTCTCTCTCTCTCTCTCTTCTTTTATACGGAATAGATTGCAGGCATTTGCAGGATAAGTTCGAGAAGGGATGATGCTTACGGCAGGCTGTGCTACATGATCATGCATCGAATGCGCTAGTTTTGGTATTGCCACTGCAGTATAGCTAGCTCTCGTTGTTATCCTAGCAGGACTAATATCATGTCACACGACGAGATGAGTGCTGTGCTCGTAAATGGATGGATTTAGTAAGGTGCAGAACACGAAGCAATTTCTTGCAATAATACAAACATGCTGCGATGAGACATCGCTCCATGCCCATCTCCGTGTTATCTCATTTTTCATCCATACCTAAAATTACTGCAACGGCGCCCCGCTAGTTCCATAAGTATACTCCATGAGCTATTTGTGCATCACCACTCATGCATTCAGACTTCTCAACTGAGTTATCGTCGATCATTGAAGCACTCAGAAATAATAGATGAAACTTTTTTAATTTCCAGTCAAAAAATGAACATACAACTTCATTTTGTCCTGAGATTGATTCATAAAAAAAGTGATTCAGTCCTGCGACACAAGAAGCAGGAAATGATCAAAAATTATCAATAAACAAAACAAATAAGTCCTTTCACGAAACATTTCAGTACACGTTTAGCTTCCTGACAAAAGCTTTCGTCTAATTATTTCACTTATTTCGTCAACTTCAATTCGTCGATTACATTCATTAAGCACAGCTGCACGCAATTTAGTGGCATGTCTTTTTGCTCCACTTTTTTGTATTTTTTTAACAAGTTTGTCATTTTCACGAATAACTTTCTCCGCAATTTGAATGATTTCATCTTTATCATGTATTCGCCATAAATTCTCTTCATTTATAATCTGAAAACAATAACAGTGAACAACTATAGATTTTATGACACAAAAATATTTTTTGCCTTCTTTTGTACGTATAAAAATTTAAATAGATTTCCGGCGTGTTTGCCTTATTATGAAGAATTGTGTAAGTTCTAGGAGAAACAATCAATACTTCGGTTGGCGATTTGTCTAACTCTGCTTCTATATATCTTCGCAAGAGATCGAAAGTTGTCAGCTTTGTTAATCGTTTAGTGTGAAAAAGATGTACTGTTTCCACGAAATAATTAATGAAAACTGTTCTGAAAAACTGGGTGGTGAAGGAGAATTTATAAAATATTTCCAAAAGAGAAATATAGATAAATGGAACGGATGAAACAACCGTACAATACAGCATCTTATTTAAAAAAAATTTATTGAAAACAAGCAAGCTTACCGTGATGCAGGGAATTTTTTTGTGCAATTGCGACAAATTGTTTGCAAGAGAAAGGTCCACTCAACTAATACTGAAGCCATTGCAGCATCATCACATACATTTAAAACCATTTCAACAAATGTTGCGAGGTTTTTTTGATTCTAAATGGAAAACTCATATAATAAATCGAAATCTAAACGAAAGTTACTTTTAATAGTTTTGCTCTAAAACTGGAAATATTTTTAATAGTCACGACTTTCTTTTCAAACTGGTTACCAAACAATATGAATAACGCCGCTATATATGCAAAACACATAAACACGGTAGTTTCATCAAACGCATATATGTCTCATAGACTTCAATACCCAAAAGCATATGGGTATACCCAGCTTCATGCAAACATAACCAAAAAGCAGAATCTTATGCCATTCTTCCTGCCAATCTTAGCTGATTATTTCCTTACGAAGTTGGGAGACAACTTCTGCTTCTACTTCATATGGAAGATATATATGAATAATAACTAACAGCAATTCGTAGTGCGACTTCTGGTCTCATGCCATATTCTTCGATGTTCTTCAAATATCTCGGTTTGGAAAGCATTAGACGACAATTTGCTATCCATTCTTGTTTAATCTGTACAGGAGGAAGGTTCGGTTCCGGCATAAAACGGTAATCCATTTCAATTTCTTTTTCTCTCATTGCTATTGTATTGCTGGAAAATGTCTTCTGTTTGGAACGAGAAATTTTTGGAAATCTTTTCATACCTTTAAACGTGATAAAAACTACTGTTTCCGGCAATATCAGAAAACGCAAATAACCCACCCATAGCGGTCAACAGTACGTGTTTCATTCAGTACTGTGCCTCCAGCTCTAAGAATTTCGTACTGCCGACCTAGTTCACTGTTGACAGCTGTATACACCATGCGTAAGCTATTTAAATTTTTGATCTCAGTTCGAACACCTCTATTAACGGTATTATCTCCGCCAAGTGAAATGTTGACGTCCACTCGAAACTGAGCCTCTTTAATAGATTCATTTTTTTTAAAACAACTTTTCCTTCCTTTCTGTTTAACTGATCGACGAAAGACAAAGAGAAACTTCTAATATAATAGAAACGCTAACTTTGCATTTCTCCTTCGCACAAACCATTTTCTATAAGAGTCAAACGTAGTTGTTCAATGAAGCAGTAAGCTTCTAACGCGGAATTCATGGTTGGAGAAGTCACTATTTCTAATAATGCAACTCCTGCAAAATAACTCTTTTCAAAATTCTAGAGGCAAACCTCAGTTTCAATTCTTCAGTGTTACGACAAAAAAAAAAAAAAAAATGAATAAGATTATTATTACCAGCTCGATTGAAATCGATCAATGAACGATTGTTACTAAAATCGTGAATTGTACGACCACTATCATGTTCCAATTGAATTCTCAGAATATCTACACACTTTCTGTACGGAATAAATGACTATAAAGAATACAATTTGTGCTATATTCAAAGTAGAAAAATTTTAAATAATAATTAAAGAACACTGGCCTCATCATTACAGTGGACGTAATATTCAAAGAAACCAGAATGGGCAATAGGATGGTTTTGTTGAGTGATCTGATAGCCAGCTGGCATGTCTGCATAGAAGTAATGTTTACGTACAAACTGACATCTTTCCGGTATTGTACAGTTCAACAGCAAACCCGCTGTTATACCTTTCTAAATGAAACTTATATGAAATTCACTTTTGTTTTATTTGCATTTTATTAACTAAACTGACTCAATTTCATTTCATTTATTTATATGCTATTCGTAAGTTCAAAGACATAAAACTCATAGATTGTGTGATTTTCAGAAAACTAGCCATATCACAATCAGTGTTGAAAAATTGTATACTGGATCACAATCACTTCTTACATCTAATCTTTCGGAATCTTTGTTTACAGATCAAATAATTTTATTAAGAAATACAAATTTATATGCCACTCTGGCACAATATCTGTCTTTTAAATGAATCACTCGAATTACTGCAGTTCGTTATATAACTTCTTACAATCACCAAACAATTGTTTTGCACTGACTTCATATATTCTTCAACTCGATTGTCAACATCCCTATTTTATATATTAATATTTCTGTTGTCTAACAAATTGTTTAGAAACCATCCGTGTAGCTCAGGTTAACCAGTGTATCCTAGTATGTATGAGCCATAAAAACAAGTCGTGAATAAGACACTAACTAACCATTACGGCAGCTTTGTTGAGGACAGGAAGAGTACCAGGAATTGCCATATCGAACAATGCAACAGATGTATTTGTACGGGCATCATCATCAAATGTTGCTCCTGAGAACAACTTCGTTCTGAAAATTATGCAGATGTGAACACTAGCACGCATGTATTAAAAATTTATTAGGGACTACTATCTATCTTCTTTCTCTTAAAAGTTCTGCTTGATCTTGTCCGCACTTGATAATTAGCTGCACCGTCCTATGTAAAGTTTCACCATATTTAATCATTAAATTATAGATCATCTTTATCTCACACAGCCTACTCATATCTGGTATTTAAAGATTAAAAAAATTGAAGCTTTCTATAAACCATCATGTTATATCCTGATCTTGGACAGTGACAAGTAGAAGTGAATAATAAAGGACCAATTCAATCCCTAGTAAAAGATCTATATGTTTAAAATACTCACAACCTAATAAAAGCAAATAACGGGCATCACTTCAAAAGCGAAACATCATTAAAAAACCTGGTCATTATTTGAGCATGTATTTCTAGACCAATGAGTGGTAGATATTTCACTGTGGTTTCTCCGGGGACGCAAAACAATTTATTCCATAGTCTCATTTGCACTACAATATATTAAAAACATGCTAGAGCAATGGACTCCAGAGATTTACAAGTTACCTCAACAATCAAACTTCCTCTCTTACAGTCTCAAAACTCCTTAATGTAATCCACATTGTCTACCACACAGTATGCAGTATTGTCTTCTTCCCTTACACATTGTTTGCCAATCTTACTCATCTAATAACTAAAAAAGATTGCACTAGACTGTGATTCTAAATGCTGATACTTTCATTTTTTAGAACGGTTTGGTTAGCGACACCATGAAAGTTGATGGTTAAGCATTATGTAAAACGTGAGGAAACACTTTTAGAAAATGATTTATTCAAATAACAATATAAAATTCAGTGGAAAGATTCCACTTAAAAATAAAGATAACAACGTTCATTGGAGAAAACACATAGCTTTAATGCAAATATTTTCGAAGTTAAAAACTTGCACAAAATGCAATTTCCAGTATAAAACAATAAGAAAAATTAGCCTTTAAAACAGATTGTCCCAATGATTAAAAAGTATACTTGGTCTTATTAGGAATGCTAGTGATCCGAGGCAATCTAATGCTTCGAAAGAACAAAAGTAGTGACTTAGAAAAAAAATGTAAAAAACAATCAGCTCAACCCAAGTTCATCAAATCTTATCCGGATTTTTATTACCAGTCACCCAATATTAATTATTAAAAACAAAGCATTCTGCAAATGCTTCAGCTAACTCGTCACCAATCCCTAAATTTCCAGCAGAATCCATTCCTTTTTTGTCCGCTGCTGCCTTTCGAATTGGGACACCACTTTTGAAGAACGGATCTTCCATTTCAGGTCTAGCAAGTTTACCAGATCTTTTCAAGGTACATGCTTTCTGAAATTAAAAAGATTTTCCGATACGAGAAAACACAAAAAAGAATAAGAAGCCTTACTTTGTATGCAGGTTCCGTAGGAGGTTGCACTACTGGCTTATATTCATATCGTCTCCGCTGTGCTTCATCCGAAAAACCTGGCAATTCCAGCTCGTATGTCCGATCTGAATCCCAGCCGGACAAATCACCACAGGCAAGGAATGGTACCAGAAGGCGGCTGGATCCCAACAAACTATTCACTTCAGCATCTGAAGCCGCTATTAAAATTATAGCTGTTTAAATGCAAATTGGACGAAAAGTAGAAATTTTAAAAAATATCAATAACTGGGATAAGCTTTTAAAGGCAACAACTCACTTACCATAGTCTGGACATAACATTGGATTTTTCATCGTTGGTGTATATCTCTTCGGTAAACTGAATCCATTACAAACAACAAATGCCTCTGAAATTAAAAACGAAATTTCAATAATAATTTCAATGCATTAAATATATATCCTTAAAATAAACAATAAATGAAAGATTCATTTTTCTCACCACAACTACTTTGCCGGCTACTACGTGGCTTCGTACAGTAGACCTCTTTGAAAAAAATTTTCAACTGCGCATATAGTAATGTGATATCACGTGCACGAAATATCTAAATTCAAACTTTTATTTTTAAAAAATATGCAATAGCTTGGACACAAAATAACTCATAAGAATTTTAAATGAACGAACCTTAGCAACAAAGGTTCCTGCTTCTTTTAATACGAACGTTGCAATATTCAATGCCTAAAATTTGATTCAAATTGATCCACTTTTGGTTTAGAAACTGATAATTACAAAAATTTTTGAAAAAATTTCCTGAAGTATTACTAATAACTTGAAACAGCAATTAGTTCAGCAGTAATAATAAAACTTCGAATTTCACTGGATGATACTTACTGCTAAAACAAGCTGACTCTGCATGTATTCGTCAAGCGCATGTAGTCCAGTTACTGAAACAATCGACCTAATGTATATAAAACGGAACTAATAGAAATAATTCCAAGCATATAAGAAACCAAATATCAAATGTTACCATCCGGAGCGCCATCGCAAATAACCAAATCGGCCTTTGATCCTTCCAAATAAGAAATAATTTTCTTGGCTGTACAAGCCTGAAAACTACAAAAAATTAGTTTTAGAAGCGCGATTTTCAGGAAAGAAATATGCAAAAAAAATGAAAGTTTGAGAAGTCCGTACAAACCTCGGTTATATCACCCTGCAATTGAATTATACCAGGAAGTGGTGACATTGGTTGTAAATCGACAGCGACTATACGTACCTGCAATTCGAAACATATACAAAGTATGGACAGGAAAAGGTTGTGAAAAAAAAAAACACATATGATCAATAAATTTTGTTTCCCATATATCATCTTTATTGCTAGAAAGAAACTGTAGGTCTGCAGGACTCACAGCTTTCCGTTCCTTTTCATCTTGCGCAAAATACACTTTTTTTGATAAAACTTGACTCCAGCTACCAGGTGCAGCACATAGATCAACAACTCGATGAACACCTAGAAAACTTCTGATGTAATATTAAGAGAAAGTGAATTCACTTACTTGAAAAAAAATTCATAATCCATATTAATATTAAAATTTTATCCATATTAAATTTTACTTCCTTTATGCTTTTCTGAAGAATACCATTATCATTTATATTCTCAAGAACTTAAATAACAAAATTAAGTCAGACATGGGATCTGACTGCAAATCTATTTTGTAAAGCATGAGTCACATGATTTATGCAGTATAGTGTAAATTATTTCACCACATTTGTATCAAAAACATGTCCTTTTACTCTGATAGTGTGCAACCACTGACAGACTTACTAACTTCGCTAAACACGAATCACGATTAGTGGATGGATTTCAGGGCAGACTAAAGTTCTTAATGTACAGAAAGCTAACCAAACACTGAGCATTGTACCGAACTGGAGCTTCTTTCAAGAAAGTTTTCATTTTATATCTGAACATTTAAATCGTCAAAATCCACACCTTCAAATATATTAAATTCATCGTCGATCTGCATTAACTTAAATGCACTGCGAGCTCGCCATCCTTCTTCCTTCGCCAGACGATAATATATATCCCGTTTGTCTTTGGATGTTTTCCCCATATCTATAATTAATGATTATGTTAGGATTTCATAAATATGTATTATTATTATATTACCCTAAGGAAAAAAAAAATTGCATAATTTCATGTTACCAAAACAGCTATACACTACATTCGCATATATTAAAAAGAGGTTTAACGTATGGCTATGAATACATTTGAAAATTATAGGTACATGACCACTGAAAAAAAATATTTGTAATTTTTAATGGCAAATTCATCATATTTAACGAAAATGATGACGAGTTATCAATAGATATGGTATAAGTATACGTCAAATGCGTAATTCGACTTGCACTGTTACCACCGGAGCTAAGCTGTCCGACATATAAGCTAAGCTTAATCAAATGGTCGAGCCATTCATCCTGGTAATTCTAGGATGTGCTGACTTTCTGACTGTCGGAACTTTGTCGAGGCAAAGCGAAGGAAGAAGAAGGGTTAATGATGAAACTGTTCTGTGGCTGTTTCGTTATAAATGAAATATTTAATTTTGAGTCAAATTAATTGCTGCTTCCGTTCGTGTAGCTCGATGTATGACACTCGTTTACCAGTATTTTGTTAGTTTTTGGTAACTTTTGTGTAAAACAAAAAAAGTTTCATCACACTCTTAGTGATCACACTCATTTGTCTTGCGATTTATTCCCACAGCACCAGTTCTGCTTACCAAAAATGGCCCACTTGGCGCACACATTCATTGTCTATGCTTCATAAAAAATTTAAGCAAGCAAGACGTCATACTCATTGAAAGTTTGAGAATAGGTTGAAGACGTTTCGTCCCACAATTCCTCTAATCATTCGCTTTACCGAATATAACTGCTTTATCTGTGTACTCCAGCTATCCTAAGGAAAACTTCAGAAGAAACCAGCTATTACTTTCGCCCCAATACCAGAGTCAGACAATCGATTTCCACGTCAGAATCGCTTCGGTCATTCAACAGAGTTTCTTCTAGCTTCATCCTGCTCAAGTATAGTTCACCATCTTTCTGGATGATCGTCGATCTCGGCGTTACGAACCACCGCACGATGATTTTAATCGTAATCGGAGATAAACGTGTTTTATTTTTTTATATTTTGAAACATTTAAAAATGTGAAAACTTCGGCCAGTAATTGGAATCTTTAACTGATTTAAAGCGGTTGTAATTTTGCAGTGTATTTATTCTTCCTGATATGTTTTGAGCAATTTCAGATGAGTTCATCGTTTTGTATTTGTTTGAGTGTAAAAGTTATCCGGTTCTCTTTGGTGGGTTTTGTGCTACAAAAAATGAGAATTTTAAATTGGCGCTGCGCTTCGCCAAGTTTGCACAATACCATGTTTAACATCTATTTCACAATATCTCCATATCGATTTGAAATTTGTAGGAACTTTTATTGGCTGAAAGAAGAGAAATAACTACTTTTAATAAGTATATACTCATAGGAATCTTCTGGCAATAACATAAATGATAATTCCAGCACATTCATATATTGCTGTAATTATTACAAGCCTAGTATTTGACGAGAGTAGAACTGTATCATTACTAACAGTAACTATTTCATCCTTGATCAAGTAATAGTAGTTGTTATCCAGTGAAAGTTTATTGAAGAATGCCGATTTTACCGGTAGCATTGCACGCATTGCATGATTCGTTAGGACAACGTGGTAGAGAACCTTAATTCTCGTCTTTGTGAAGAAGAAGTTTGTAAAAAATCATTTCGAAAAAAAAAAAAAAAAACTATTATAGTGATGCGTGTAGTAATTATGGTGTTGTCCAGAGTTCACATAAAAAATGGCACGATTAACCAGCAGATTCACAGTTATCGATCATCTTCTCCAGGCATTGAATGCACATAGCGTGTTCGCATTTATCTTTTGACGGGAATCCATTAACTGGTAAGTTTTTACATTTGACTTCAGCTTGGCATCGAGCTATCTGATAGGTATGTATCGCATTGAATTAATTACTCTTATTTTTAAAAAGAGAGGCTAGCAATTACTCAAATGTCGTTTTTAGAATTTTGTTTTTACAGTAATCAGTTTGTTTTAAACTATCAGTATTTTTGATAATCTGATCTTTCTTGAGAATAGATAATTTCTTAATTTATCGATAATTTCAGTCATGATAATTAATAAGAAGGAGCAAATATTTCGATTCAATTCCACTAACGTCAGCATGTCTAAGGCATTCAGTAGAAGGACACATTTCTTCAACACCTGAAAAGGATATTTTATTTCGTTTCAAAAAACATTTTCCGGAAAACACAGTGAATTTTAAATTTAAAAGGTCTACTTCTTTTTATAACAGTAAGACTGCACGTCATAAAAGCTCCTTAAAACACTAGAAATGAATCAATAAATTTGTGAAGTATTGCATATCCTCAATAATTGAAATCTTGTTAAGATTGTTCAAAACAAGCAACTTGGAATGATCAAAATCAGTACCTGTTGAATATTTACGACCGGAAATAGTCTCGAAACAAGCGGAGCATATTTTTGCTTGACAGCAACTTGTCGTTATGTATTTGCCTTCTTCCACGTATTTTTTACATATACCGTCGCACAGATTGGACTCATCCACCTCAGATGCTTTTCCTGAACAATCTTCCGCTGGGCAAACTAAAACATCGGTCACTTTCTGCGGAGAAAAATAGATTACAGGTGAAATTTAGAAGTTAGTGATAGATCATGTCATATCTTTTATTTATGGAATTTATACAGACAGACCGGGAATGGGCAATATTTTGTATTCTTCCATACATGTTGAACAAATATTATGTTTACATGGCAAGCATTCCAATGAGACTGCCGAAAGTTGTCTGCAAATTTCAAAAATAATATGCGTAACGAATCTCTAGCATAAAGATTTATTTATCAGTAGAAATGAGTGAAATACAAAGAGACAAATAAGATTATTTTATAATATCAGTCGATGAATTAAAACGAAATTCAAGCCATCACTATATGAAAACTTTGATTTTAGTTCAAGAGAAATGAAGGTGCGGTAATTCTTTCAAATATGATATTTCAAAGATGTTGAAACGAAACATCAAATGTTATCCACTGGAGTTTTGTTTCACCTTTTATAACAGCAATTCAAATTAATTGAATTAACATAAATTCGAGGCAAATTTCCTGACAGACTGACTTTTGGCAAAAAGCAAATTCACATCAGGATTGCTAACCGGCAGCAGAATTGACTCTCACAACATTTCCAATTCAAACGTCTACAGTAGCTTTCATCGAATATTGAGAAACAATTCGATGCAAGGCAAATCTGATTCATTTACGATAAATTTACAAGCATATGTAAATAATACAACCTAGCCTAACACTTTACATACCACAGAGAAGCATCAAAGATGAAAAAGCAGGATGAAAAGTTATGTTCTTATCACTGTATATAATTTGACCAAATTTTGTTAGGAAAGAAAAAAACAGAAAAAAAACTTTAAATTGGGATTTTTTTTTGCAAATTAAAAATACAATAAAATATTAAAATGTTTGTTTTTTGCTAGCTTTAATAACAAATTTGGAAACAGACCATAGGTGAAACAATTTCCTGAGAGGCACATGAGTTTTTTGAATTTGGTTTTATCTAAAATATTTACTTTGCGGAATTTTACAAACTTAATACATTTTAACAGTAAAACATAGAATAATTGAAAGGGATTAACCTTACGTGCGTTTCTCCACCGTTCTACGCAATGTTTGCAAAAGACATGCAAGCAAGGAGTGAACTGAAGAATCTTCCCCGGTGAAACAGTCTTACTGCAAACAACACATTCCATCATTTACTACTGTGCACCGCAATATCACCGATCAAAATGATAAAGTAACGGAGAATGTTTATTCTAATCTCCTCATCAATGACATAACATCACTGTACGCGACAGATTCATGCATTTATCTTCTGACTGTCGCAATGTGCAATGACATTTGGGATGATTGTTAACTCATGTCAAATTCTCCTACGTAAACGTCTCTGGGCCTACAACTTTCTACCACTATCGACCAGTTTAACACTTAGTAGTTATTTTGAATAGTATTTAAATACCCGCGTATTTCATATTCAGACGACCAAAGCAAAAGTCTAATAATTATTTAATGTAAGGTATCCGTTTGGATCTACTTCCTTCCGAGAATACCCGATAAATCTTTTGATACGTCATCCAAATATTACCATTTATTTTTTGGGTAATAACAAAATATTTTCGGCAACATTACTGATACATTCTTTCCTCTAAATCATAAAAAAGTGAATGTTTCAAGATCTGAAAATAACTGAAACAAATTAGCTTTTTCAACCGGTGACAAATAATGTCAAGAACCAAAAAAATCTCCAGTTGCATGAATTGATAATTATATTACTAAATTATTTTGCTCACTAATAATATACTTGGAAGTATGATGACATGATGTGTGTGCAGAATAGCAGTTTAAAATGCGTTAATTTAATTTTAAACAGCTAAATCATAATGTATATGTTTATAAAATAATGAATAAGGCAACAGAGATAACGATATAGTAAAGGACAGATGATGTGACAAACATTCTAACGGTTCGCTTTGCTTCGGGTGCTACACCAAGATATGATAAATCATCAACTTCCTTCAGAGTTGTCTCTGGCTTCAGATCAGTGATAATGACGTTGTCCGTTCCCAAAATATCAAGAATCTTTTCCGTCTTTACAGGTTGTGCTGCAGTATGCAATATGATGCTAACACACATTTATTTATTTATTATGTATTATTATGTAATCAGCTTATCGAGAAAGGTGTTCAATTTTTTTCAAATTAATTAATTACCTTCATGTTTTAGCAAATCCTTTTTAATAAGGATCTATGTGAACGCTGTATGAAAAAATTTTGAGGAACAATTTTGAAGACAAATGAAACTAACAATTTTTAACGCAAAGAGCAAAATCAGATTTCATTTCGCAGGTGCTTTGCACGATTGCTAAAAGTTTGTTAAATTACTCCGAAAAAAATATTTTTTGTAAAACTGGAAAGATCTACGAATCTTTTGTCGAGTACTATCTTTGTTTTTTATTCAAAGCTTTCTTTTTTCTGCACTTAAGTCTGACCCAGTCTAGGATGCAGATCAAAAAAATATGTCATTGCTGCGTGTCTAATCAAAGACATCATTAGATTGCTAACCTCAACTCAGGAAATACCTGGAGTGAACAATAACGACCTAATTTGAACTGGCAGAATCTTCTTTAGGACATATATTTTTAACAGCTTTTAATTAGATCTTTCAAATTCTCTAGCAGAAATGAAAGAATTAAGAGGATAGATAAAATGGGATGAAAAAAAAAGATAAAATGAGGAAATTTGCTAAGTGAAAGCAGTTTTAAAAACTAACAACCGCCAGGCAATTCTAACATAAAACAAAATGCATCTGTAGAATTTGAAACAATGACATTGATCTGAAAGAATTTTAAATCCAAAAACTTTAAAACAATTTTTTATTAAAGTGAACAATGATGACTGCATTCGAGGAGGTTTTGTCACCTCAGATAAGGAAGTCTTTTGCATCGTTTTCCACTAATTCTCAACCTCAAAGAATTTCTGGGCTCTATTTAAATATTTTGTGTCTTATGGAAAGAAAGCTATAAATCTATGAAGGCGCACTTACAGTTAATCAGTCATTTAAATTCTTCCAAACAATCAATTCCAGGAATTTTTTTTTTGAAACACATAGAGTTTTATCAGTTTTACAGATAATGAAATAAGCAACAGCCTTACCCCCACGGTTGAATATTTGTAGTCAGCAACTATTATGGGTTCCTCCTTGGCATTTTTAATTTTCTGATTAATAATTTCATAACAATTCTTCCAACAATTTCATAACACCTCGAAATCCGAAAATCCGTGCCCTGATGCCTAATATATATGTGACCTCCTTTCGTTTTTCTCCTCTGCTCTAACATACTTCGCTTATTGGGTAATTTATTTTTCTTAACCCATCTTAATAAATACGCCGATACCAAACAGATAACTTCAACGAAATCACTCTACTGACTTTATTATACAAAATATAAAATTCATTCATTACATCCTTCTAATATTCAATTTTTCTCGAGATAAGAGAGGTTGCATCTCATAGAAAAGACGAAGTTCTTAAATTTAATTGAAACCAATAAAAATAGAAGCTAACAAAATTGGAACAATACAGTATTTACATATGAATTACATATGAACTGGAAAAAATTCACAACCATAGATAACAAGCCTAGGAATGCAGCTGAAAAACAGTCTGTGTGAAGCATATGAAGCATTTCCTATCCTTTAGCTACAACATATTTCAATCTAACACTGTGACAGAACATAATTCAAAACAATAAGTAATATTTGACAAATTCCAACTACGAATGCAGTGAGACTCAAATTCATAAATAAATTAAGTGAAAAAACAAAACTCTTATCCAATTAATAAAATATCATTGGTGCTCACATGCAAAACAGTAATTATTTTAGCATTTTGCTCACTTTTTAATACTCAACGAGGTTTTATTTTTAAAAGCTCTAAAGCAGATAAAACATATTTTAAAAAATATAAGAAATACCAGATGAATAAAAATTAAAGAAACTTACAAGATGTACGAAATTAAAGCATTCAATTTGTGTTAAGTCAACGTGTCCTAATTCTACTTTCAAGTATTCCTTAAGATACCTTCTCCCATCATTTTACATTTCTGCTATTAATAAGTAATAAAAATGTAATGACTTTAACACAACAAAAATATGGAAATAATGCAATACTAAGTTTCTTCCTTTCCTTCTTTCTCCCAATTATTTGGACATTTTATGAACCAATAATAAATTCATTCCATGTGGTTAACTATACCATGACTTTCAAATCATTAAATCTGAAATTCGAAATAATAAATCTGATATAAAACAGGGTAAGTTATGAAATTCAACTGTTCATTACATATGAAAATTCAAAATCTCCAAATCTGCAAATCAGGTTCTATATCATCACGATCGGTAACATCACTTTCACAAAAACCAGATTCATCTTCTATACGTGGCGTTGTCAGGTTAACAATTGATTCATTTTCGTCGCTAGATTCGGAACGTCTCACCGAATTGATAATCCGCTTCAGAATCGGTGTCTGATCATCTTCAATATCCACTATCGTTTCATTGGTTTTAGCTCTTGGATCCATCAATGTGGTTCGGTTGGCTCGTTTTCCCTTTTCATTCTTTACCAAATTTGTCGATGGTAAAGTTTGAGTAGGATAAATAGTACAAAACAGCTGCTGCCTTTGATGCTGAAAAAAATTTAGCTCGGATTAAAAATTCAGTAAGCAATTTCTTGAAACCATAATTTTGCAAGGATAGGTTGAAAAGAAGTGGAAGAGTGGGCTGTTTCGCGATGTCCAACAATTTACAACCCACAGCTTACTATTTACTGACAACTGAACAAGAGTTTTTTCAGGCAAAAAAAAAAAAACAGGAAACCTCAACTCAAAAATATTAGTGAAAAAAAATCTTTTTCAATTACCAAGAAAAAAATAAATAAATAAAAGAACCGCCTCATTATTACTGCTACATGTAATAGAGACCTTAGTCCTTGGAAATGTTTTTGGTGAACCAAAAGGCACAATGCACAAATCTTTTTCAGTAGTACCATCTTTATGCCTTAAAATTGTAGCTTGATGATTACCAGCATGATTATAACGAATAGTCGCATGTTTGGAATGATCCGAATTTAAAGTCTGGAACATTCATAGATATGCTCGTTACTTCAAGAAAACAAAGAACATTCACATTAAAAAAGTGAAAAAGAAGACTGTAAACAGTATTTCATTTCTCATGACGCAGGAATAGAATTAAGCTTATGAATAGAAAAGACATATGTAATTAAGAAATAGGAGAAAGTAGCATACTATGTTATATTAGAAAGGTTTTCGAAAACAGTAATCTCTGAAATATGAATACATTATCAATTAGCAATAAACTGTTTCTGAAAATACGAAACATATCACTAACCAAACAACTCCAATTGTATTCCTCAGGTAATGCGCAATCTCGCCAAATGACATGCTTTGAGACGTCTTTATATCGAAGTTTAATCATTGCACTAGTTTCAGAATCCAGCTTAAACAACTCTTTTGTTTTCCCAACCTGAAAAAAATAGAAATCTAGTTTTAGTTAAAAACTATTGAAAGACATTTCTATTTGGAAAAGCAGAAAAAGAAAACAAAACATCTCGTAGCTCAATTAGGTGAAATTACTGTTAAAATACTTTTTCAATTCTCACTGTAGCAGCATTTCAAAAATAAAAAAATAAATAATAATAATAATAATAGTAACAAATGAGAAGATTAGAAAATACAATTTTCACAAACGTTGATGATAAATCGTTGGTGGCTAATACACAATTCAATCAAACAAACATTATCACAACATATAGTTAAGTAACTAACCGAAGGAAAAATGAGAAGATGCAGACTTTCAACAATTCTCATCTACATAGAATTAGCAGCTGACAAATTACAACCTTTTAAGTTTAAAAAAAATGCCATTACTAAACTTTTCGTTCACACATTCCTTTAAAATTCTATTGCAGACCAACTACATCTTTGATCAGAATTGCCCACCTCTTTCTCGGACAAATTCCAAACCGTCGCACATACATAGCATTAATCCTCCCTCTTTCCAATGTTAATGATATTGACCATTAAATCATTCCATTTAATGCACTCGTTAAAAACAGAATCACTATATACTTCTACAGCAAGAACAGAAAATTAAAAAAATTATTAAGAATGAACAAGCTGTCGATGAAGATGTCACCTCACGATTAACTTCCAGTCGATAAAGCTGAGCTGCTTTCAAAATATCAGAAACATAACTTTTTAAAATGAACAAATATGCAAAAAACTAATTAATCAGTTCCGAGTAAGAACTTTCGCGTACTTTAGTATCCTAGTAATTTTTTTTAATAAATTATTTCTTTTTTCCAGCCTCCTCTCATCTTCTTTCCTATGCCTTAGACATGAGAGTAACAGTAGTACTATTTTCGAACAACATAAAATTTAATTATGAAATTATCAAAAATAATACTTTTGAAAACCGAAATTGTTGAGAATTCTAGCAAAGTTTAAAAAAACAAATTTAGTACCATTAAATAAAAAAGCACATGATCTGCCTGCTTCAAAAATTACAACGACTAGTGAGAATTTTGCGAGAAACAACATTTTTCAGTGATTTAGAATATATAATATATACTAAACATTTCTTCCAATAAATGAAACAGAAAAGAGTTGGTCAGATATCTAACTTCAAATCAAATTCACGAATGAAACATTGAAAATATGGAAAACCTGAAGGCTGAATGTTCTTCGAAGAAATCCTGTTTGTTCTCTCTGGAGTGATGTAAATTGCTGGCTTTTCATACCACCATCCACCCTTTGGCTTAACCGCTTTTCGATCATTACAGTAGTAACACTTTCGCCATTTTCATTCATTAATAAACAATTTCGTTCTATGGTAAAATTATTGTCGTTACTACTACTACTACTACTCCATTACTAACCATCATACTTGCTCTTTTTGCCACCTGAAATTAAGAATTAGCACTTAGCGACGTGGAACAAACAAAGAATAGAATTCAATCATGACGAATAAAAAATTTTCAGAGATTTGGGAATATAATAATCTGTTTGTTTATTCATTCAGTAACTTACAAAGGGATTATAGAGCTATACAGGTGTCGAATAAAAGAGGAAGAATAAAAGAGATGTTCACAGACAAAGAAGGTTAATGACAAAGCTTATGTAAAAAAATAAAGTAATTCAAAATGGGGAAGAGGATCAGCCCGGAACAAAAATGAATCAGCGATATGAATATAATATAAAAAGAAACGGAGAAGTCAACAAACATTGCTTCGATATATTCCATCATTTCCTCCCCCACCCAAAAAAAAAACTTATCAGACTAAAAGTAGAAAGCGTCAATAAGTTGAAAACAATTGCTCCATTTTATCCTTATATCACTTGTTCAGTATAATGCAACATTCCTTTTGGAATGCTCAGTTCCACCCGACAGTGACAAATTAACTATTCAGTTGACAATGTGAAGCTGAAAAATCCCCAAAGACAACCCTTCCACCTGGCACTAATCTGAAGTTCTTAGTGCTTGATTATAACTAATAATGAGTATGCAATCCACTAAAGGACGAAACGAGAGCTTACATACTTTCATCTTGAAAGCAGACAAGTTAATTTAAAATTCTGCTTTAAGCAACATACATTTTGAATTAAATTCCACAGCATCTTTGCCAAATCTCATTTCCCTTGCAAGTAAAAAATTATCTTACAGAAAAAGACTACTCGTACTAATATATACACCTTAAGGCACTTATTCTCCAACTCATGGTGGCATGATTTATATAATGACAATTAATCTGATTTTAGTAGCAAAGAAGACGAATAGAAAAATTGCAATGAGAATGAAATGATTGAGTGCCACTGCTGTCAACCGGTTTAGTCATTACATCTGAGTAAGAGTTAATGCTATACCTA